GACAGAATCAACATACTCATCAACAAGATACATCATACGATAATCAATCAAGGAATAACATTAATCATATTCATAAGCAATGAAAGTCAAGGACCACATTCAATGACACGTTCCAAACTTATGCCCTGTTCCAACCTTATGACTTCCCCCAACCTTATCTCAGTTCCAACCTGTACCTCCAAGTGCCACCCTGTACACCAAGTCCAACCTTTTCCCTCCCGGGGCCTTAGCCTCCCTGCCTACATCCGCCAGTTATACCATGAATCTCACAGACATACGCAATGTCATAATAATAATTCTAATCATGATAGTATACCGCCAATCATTGAGCAAAGCTCAGTAACATTACCACCAATCTCACAGTAATACATAATCATTGTCATAGAGGATTGACGTTCATCAATAGCCCAATCAAGTATCAACAAACGTGTACCACATAAGTACAAGATCATATCAAGGGATTCAATTGATAAATCTCAATGGAAGACATGAACCAACTCATACTAGCATCAACAACAACATAGCTAGCATGTACATCAAAAGAATAAACATAACGGTTCAATCGAACATCAACGACTTCACATTAATCCAACGAATCACAAAGTTGGACCATAAGCACGATTCAAGACTCATAATACTATCATGGATACTTAGGACACCGTTCTAGACGTACGAAACATCAAATGAGACACACAAGTGCACAACGATTCAACAAAACGGATTCCAAAGCATTACGTACCAGTGGGCGGAACGGTGGGTAGACAACCACCCGCACAAACCCTCTTTACACGTACCAGCGGGTGGACCATGGGTGGACCTCCACCCGCGGCACCCCCCCACCGGCACAACTTCCTCCACCCATGGGTGGAACGGCTGGTGGACAGCCACCCGCTGTTCTGCCCGCGGGTACACATACCCAGGGCACAAATTCCCTTTGGTGAAAAACATCAACATTACCAAGTTTAAGTCCAAAACACCCAAAACCTCACATTCAACAAGGAAATGACTTGAACACATAAATAGCTCAATGAATAGCCTTTATGAACCCTAGATACAAGCTCTAAACATGCATAAACACAAGATTATGCATCAAATCACTCACAACATCAAGAATGGCAAGAATTCATATTATCAAATAGAAAATAGGTTTTGTAGCACATGGGTTACCTTTGTAGCCTAAAGAACACCTTCTTTTCCCCACTGAGACTTCTTCTTGAAGCTCCTCTTCTACAAGGTCTTTCCAACACAACCTAAACCACACAAAACCACAACTTTAGATAAAGATAAAGAGAATTTAACTAAAAACACTATCTAAGCTCAAATCTTACCGTTCCTAGAGCCTTGGTGGATGGAAGTTAGGTTCTTGGAGAATTTCTTGCAAGGTTGAGGGAAGATTTTGGTCTGGCTTGGAGAATAAGCTAAACTTCTAGAGAGAAGATGGAGAGTTAAGTGTTTCTTGCCAAATGTGGGAAATGAAATGTAGTCTTGTTTAGAGCCGTCAAAATGGGTTTAGCCCGCCGGGCTTTCCCGCCCCGCCCGCCAAAAGGGCGGGGTGGGCTCATGTTTTTGAAGCCCGTTTTAAAAACGGGCTTTTTTGCCCGCCCCGCCTAACCTGCGGGCTTGGCAGGCTACCCGCCAGCCCGCCTTTTTTTTTTTTTTTTTTTTTTTTTTTTTTTTTTTTTTTATATATTAGTTATATATGTATATATATATATATATATATATATATATATATATATATATATATATATATATATAAAATTAAAATTAATATATATAATATAATAATATAAATTATAGTGTCGGTTATTCGGTGATCGCGGTTATTACAGCTTCGTAATTGATAAATAACTGAATAGCCGAATAATCAATTTTTTTTGCTTATAACCGTTAATCGAAATTATCGGTCGGTTGGTTATCGATTATCGGTTTTTCGATAATTATACTTATCCCTATTGGTGTCATTGTTGTCATGTTGTGATGAACGAATTTATGTTATTTTCTTATGAATAAGTGTTTTAAGTAGATAGCAATTAAGTTATTAACATAATCACATTAGAGTTTAGATTTTAGGGACATCACACATGATTACACAAAAAAAAAAAAAAAAAAAAAAAAAAACAAGCGGGCTTTGGCGGGGCCCGCGGGCCTAGGGGGGGGGGGGTGCGGGGCTGGCTGCCCCTACCTAGGCCTGTATTCTTGGCGGGATTTTTAGCCTGCCCCGCCAGCCCGCATTGACAGCTCTAGTCTTGTTAGGGCAAGGCTTGGATACCAAGTAAGGTGGAAAAGATTAGAATGCCCTCCCTTATTCTAAAAAAGATTAGGAAGACATCAAAAGAGTAGGTACAACACATAAAGCTCAATGTCTTTCCCTTTGACTAAATCAATTGACTAAGGAATTGGTCAATTTTAGTCATCCGACTATTTAATTAAGAAATTGGAAAATGGACTTTACAAAGAAGGTTGAGAATTAATTACATAATTAATTCCATTTTAAAGGATAGATTTTCGGGGTGTCACGAGAGTTCTGCTTAATGCAAAAGGCTTACCCCAAAAGTTCTGGGCTGAAGCGGTTAATACCGCATGTCACATCATCACTCGAGTATAATTTCACCCATGCAGAAATCAAACTCCATATGAAATATGGAAAGGTAAGAATCCAAACCTTAAATACTTCCATATTTTTGGCTCACGGTGTTTTATTTTGAAAGATAGAAATCCCACTGCAAAATTCGAACCAAAAAGTGACGAAGGGATTTTTCTTGGATACTCGATAACAGCCGAGCATATCCGGTGTACAACAAAGTCACAAAAATCATCATGGAGTCTACAAATGTTGTGGTTGATGATCAACCGGATGAAGTAATTGAAATATCTCCGCTTGGACCAGCGTCAAGTCCTATCACAAATAATCCAGAATCTCGTGAACCTCATCCAGAATCATCTGAACCTGAGTCAGCATTTGCTCAACCTAATCCAGTACAAAATTCTAAATCTGAATTAGAACAAAGTGAATTGATATACCAACTCGCATTCAGAAAAACCACCCAATTCAAAATATTATCGGGGATCCAAGTTCTAGCATCCAGACTAGAGGGAAACCAAAGCGCGAATATCTTCAGCTAGTCGGATATGCATGCTATACATCGAAAATCGAGCAATACCAGAAGAACTAGGGAAGTTTGAAAGAAATAAGGTATGGGTTCTTGTCCCTAAACCTAATGATGTTAATGTTGTAGGTACCAAGTGGATCTTTCGAAACAAAACATACTCAACTGGCAACATTGCCCGAAACAAAGCGCGGCTTGTAGCTCATGGCTACTCTCAAATTGAAGGGATCGACTATGATGAGACGTTTGCACTTGTTGCTCGTCTAGAATCAATTTCTCTACTCATTTCGTCGCTTGTGCTTTGAAAATCAAATTGTTCCAGATGGACGTTAAGACGGCCTTCCTAAACGGATACCTAACCGAAGACATCTATGTTGCTCAACCGAAGGGATTTGAAGATCCTCATCACCCAGACTATGTGTATAAGTCGGAAAAAGCGTTGTATGGTCTAAAACAAGCCCCGAGGGCCTGGTATGAAAAACTGACTCATTATTTCCTTCAGCATGGCTACAATCGAGGGGAGTCGACAAAACGCTCGTTATCAAACGGTCAGGTAAGAACTTAACTAGAGCTCAATTTTATGTTAATGACATCGTTTTTGGATCTACTCAGATAGGTTCTACTGATCAACTCGTCAAAGTCATGCAACAAGAATTTGAAATGAGCATGATTGGAGAGCTAACCTATTTCCTAATATTACAAGTAAACCAGACAAGTGAAGGAATCTTTATATCTCAAGAAAAGTATGCAAAGAACCTGTAGAAGAAGTTTTGTTTAGAGTCTGCTAAAGATGCATGAAACCCTATATCAACTTCTACAAAGCTATTCAAGGATGAAAGAGGAGTCTTTGTTGATCCGAACTTATATAGAAGTATGATAGGGAGCTTACTGTACCTTACAACAAGCAGACCAAATATCATGCAAAGCATCGGGATGTGTGCAAGATATCAATCTAATCTAAAAGACTCACATCTAAAAGCAGTAAAATGTATTATAAAATACATTAAAAGGTACATTAAATTACGGCATTTGGTTTTCTAATGACAATAATCTAAGCCTTGCAGGATTTAGTGATGTCGATTGGACGGGGAATGCTGATGATAAAAAAAAAGCACCTCTGGTGGTTGTTTTTTTATTGGTAAAAACTTAGTCGTTTGGCTAAGTAAGAAGCAAAATTCAATTTCGCTTAGTACAGCTGAAGCTGAGTATATTACCGCCGATAGCTGTTGCACTCAATTACTTTGGATGCGTCAAATGTTGTCTGACTATGGCCTAAATCAGAACATAATGACTCTTTATTGTGACAATATCTCAAAAAATCCTGTTCAGCATTCCAGGACGAAACACATCGATATCCGCCATCATTTTATCCGGGAATTAGTTGAAGAAAAGGAAATAGAATTGGATTATATCTCTACTGAAAAGAACTTGGCAGATTTATTTACCAAAGCCTTTGATAAATCAAGATTTGAAGCTCTATGACAGCTCTTGGAGTCTGCAATCCATCCAATTAAAAGAATATCTTTATATATATATATATATATATATATATATAAATAAGGTAAGATTAATTAAATAATATTTTATTTTGTTATCTAATAATTTCGTTTAATGTTTCATATGTTATTTAAATCTCAAGTGTTACTGCCTATATTTGAAAATCAAAAATCTTCATCTGATCGCATTCTAGTGGCTTTTAATTTTCAAAGACCTTTTTTATGCCTACCTCTTAAATATAGCCTATTCTATAGCATTAAAAGGAGTATCCTAGTCTAATCAAATGTCTCTTCCTATCTATCAATCCCATCTCTTCTCACGTTACTCAAGGAATTCATTAAATTAATCCATCTTGCTTGTCTTCCTTCCACTCACGAGACTCATCTTCTCACAGCCAAAACCCATCATCTTCACCTAGTCTTTCCTCCATAGCCAAACAACACTCAAAGCTCTTCAAAAATGGCGAATCCTTTTTCTATCTACTGAACCAAACCTGAAAGACTTAATCTTTTCCGTCAGATCATTGACGTCGATTCCCCCCTCTCACCGACGATCGAAAATAGGGTCCTAACAACCATTGAGCAAAACCTCAAGCTAGTCGAAGATCTAACCACCAAGGAAACTCGACAAATCCGTGCTTTGGCTGGTAAAGTGACAGCTAAACTTTGGCCTTTGATTCCTAAAGCCGGAGAGAAGGATGTTGATGAAGCCGAAGTTCTTGCATCTCTCTACATGGCAAAACAACAATCTCAGGCATTGGTATCCTATTTCTCTGAATCTTTAGGGGGCACTTCCTCCGTACCCGCGTCTAGGAAGTTAAATTTCTCTGTTCATATGCCTGCTCAATTTGGTAATTCTAATGTGTCTTCTATGCCTTTATCTATTCCTTTAAATTTGCCTAATGTGTCTAAAGGTATGCATGTTACACCTATGTCTACCATCATCTATACCGGACCCATTCCCGCATTTGAGTCATCTACTCATAAAACCTCTGCTTATGTCACTATTTGCGACTCTAATCCGGTTCTAGTAGGAATTCCTTCTGGTTTGTCTCTACTTGAGTCTCAACCTGTTGTGACTGAACTAGTTTCTGCCTCTAATGTACACGTTTCTGCCATACCAAATTTAGTTTCCGTGTCTAAAGTCACAAAAACTGTCCCTACTGAGTTTTCATTTCGAAATGTGGCTCAATATGTCAATTTGCCCAATCTGGCTGTCTCTGGTCCAGAGTTGTCTATTCTAGTGTTTGTCCCTCCATTTGATCATGTTCCTTCTCAACATGTTACATGCCCTGCATCTGTTGTTTCTGTGCCTATCATATAGGTTCCAGTGGAGAAATCTTCCCGTAAAGGGAAAGAAAAGGTTTCTAGTTCTGAAGCTGCTTCGACTAAGCGCAAACTTGATGAATCTGATGATGTGGTTTTTGTGTCTGAAACCAACCATCGCAAAAAGAGTGGCTCTTATGTTCCTGCCAGAATAACCCAGTCTCGGGCTTCCTCTGTTCCTCCATTTATTCTAGTTTCTGTCTAGAAAAGTTCTAAGGGCTCAAAATCTAAGTCCTTCAGGCTCATTCTTCTTAGTGGTGATCTTATGGATTTATGGAAAGTTCATTATAAACGAGAGCTTCTGCTTGAAAAATCCATTGATGAGGATAATCTGTTGTCGAGCTGCAATATTCTGTCTTTGCTCCATGATCTGAACCTTCTCCAGTTTGTCCAGGATATCGGACCCTATTCTCAAAAACTAACTGCGGAATTCTACACTAATATGTCATTCTACACTAATATGTCAGTTGAATTTTCTGTCTTGGTTTCATCTCATTATCATCAAGTTTTTATTCGCAACAAGTGGTATGATTTTGGCCCCGAGGAGATCAATGCATACTTGGGCCAATCTGATATTGATGATGCCTCTGATCCATATCTTAATTTGCTTGCTGTTACATTAACTCACAATCAAATTGTTAAGTGGCCAAAAGGAGGTGTACAATCTCAGAAGTTGACTACGGTATACTCTGTTTTGCTCTGTATTGATGCCACGAATTGGCTTCCAGTTGTAAATTAAAATCTTGTTTTAGACAAAATAGTCCTGCTACTTTAGAAGGTTCGAAATCGGATTGATGTTGAGTTAGGGTCCATTATTTTCTCTCGTATTATGTCATTTACAAAGAAGGGGGCTAAGGTGCATCTTCCATTCCCAAGTCTCATTTTTGGTGTGTTGAAGAAACAAGGTTTTGAGTCGTATGCTTCTGAGAAGGTTCTTGCAAATAATGGTGTCTATCTATTTGATCCTAGACTGTCCCAGAGTTTTCATCATGATGATAGAGTTGATCTTCTTCCTACCATTGTTGATACTGTACCTTCTGCTACAATTCAGGTTTCTCCTGGTGGTTCTAATTCGTCTACTCTTCCAGCTACGTCTACCAGAATTCCTGAAGAGCCTCCAACTCTCATTGCTCATACGCAACTTGCTGATACAGTTCAGTCCTCTCTAGATCAAATGCATAGGTCTATTGCTACTCAACAAGAATCTATTGCTAGTCTTCAAAAGATTCTCCTTCATTATCGTAGCGAGATTGCCCCCGGTTTGAGATCGTGGCAAACCGTACCAATCATGTCTCTGACTCAGATGTTGTTGCGTCTGATCCTGCTGAAGCTTCTGAAGATTCTGATCCTGATGAAGATTCCATTGCGTCTAATGATGCAACCAGCTCCTCTTGCACTCCGTCAGCCCACTGATGTTCAACATTGTCAATTTTTTGGCAAAAAGGGGAGAATAAATTAAGGGGGAGCTTCGGTTTTTTGTGGTAATAATTTCTGTTTCGTAGTACTCTTTGCTTGGGTTGCCTTGGTTTGAATTTTTTATTTTTTTTTTGGATATTATCTTGGTCTATAGTATGGTCTATTGTATATTATCGCATATGTTTGGATGGTTTCTATTCTATTATGGGTTTTCCTTTTGTTGTGGCGTATCTATTCTGCGTTGGTTGGATTATCTCTCTTTATTGGGTTTTCTGGATTGAGTGAATTCCATTTCTGGTCCTATTGTTATAGGTACGTTTCCATTTTAGTCCACCTTAATTTTTTTTGCCACTTTACAACCACTGTTATTGAATGTGTTCCACTTTTAGTCCACCGTTAATATTTTTGTCAAGAGACCGTATAATCCACGAGTATTTTGGTCTTTTTATGGTGGTCTCTTCTCTTTCAATCCAGGCGCTTCGTCCTCCTCCTCTGATATTCGTAGATGGCTCTTCGAACAACGAGAATGGGAAGCCAAAGCTACATCGTTTCATTTGTTCCAACGTGGACCGGCGAGGTTTCTTGATGGAAGTACTAACGGTGGACTAAAAGTGGAACACATCCAATAATAGTGGTCATAAAGTGCCAAAAAAATTAAGGTAGACTAAAACTAGAAACACCCCTATAAGAATAGGACCAAAAATGGAATTCACTCTATATTAGACCCGCAGGGCGGGCCAATTTCCGGAGCTCGGCCTTGAATCAAGCCTTTTTCGATCTCTTCGTCTCACTACGAAGAATCCGAATCCACTTTGACCGGACCCAATTCGGAAGTGGACCCCACTGATAATTGTATCACAAAATAGCCACTTAACATGCCATTTTAAGCTATTTTTTCCAACATTTATCACGTACAACTGTGTCTATAGTCAATGGCCCATATAAGACCACAGTTTTCACCTCAGTCATGGTTCTCATGAGAGTTGAACCCTATATATGTGCATGTGTGTGTGTGTTCAAGTAAAATAATAATGGCCATGTTTGGTAAATGGTTGTTCGATGATAGTTGATAGTTGTTAGCTGATTGGTTAATTAAAGGGTATAACTACTTGATAATATTACCTGATTGTAGAAAAATGTTTGGTAAATTAGCTGTTAGCTGATAGTTATTTGGTATAATTTTCGTTTCTCAAAAAGCAAATTGAAAAAGTTTTTTTGAGTAGTTTTTTGAATTTTAGCATTTTGGAGTACAAAAAACTAATTAACCAAACACTTATATTGATTTTTAAACCAAGTCAAACAACTGATAATAGTCAAAATAAGCCAAAATTGACCTATATGCTAACTATTTTACCAAACAGGACCAATAACAACAACAATAATAATAAGATAGCAAAATCTATTGTGTTTTATTTTCATTTCTGCATACAAATGTAAATGAAAGCTAGACAAATTCGAAGAAGGATTTCACGTTGTATGGGTGGACAAGATTGTGGGCTCCATTCCAAAGCAATCTAGCAGACATCAGGTTGAACTTCTCAGTAGGGTGACCATTATCAAAAAACAAATAATCTCCAACATCTTTGCATAACTCATACTCTTTTAGTTGCCCCCTTTTACCTCCACAGCTGTTCAATCCTCTAAAAGGACCACTACCGCAGCATGCTGTCTTCGTCTCTTTGAAACCTTAAACCATACAAATAACATAAATCTTATAAGCATTTAATTATGAGCAAGTGGCAAGGGATTGGAAAAGATGAGTTAGTTAATTGACACACTAACCATATTTTGAAGGATTGTCAATTGCATTTGTTGTAAACGTCAAGAAATTGAAATATGAATACTTAAATCCTTGTAATGTCTTCTCCATCTTGCTGAGCTTTTTGGGTAAAGCCTTATTGTGCATCTTCGCCAGGTTACGGAGTTCCTTCACATAGCCACTATTATTCGTCTGTTGAAGCTTGAAGGCCCTGGCAGATGGGGTGCGGCCTAAAGGTCCCACAGACAAAACCACAAATTTCCTTCCTCCTTCCATGTATATATCCTTCATTACAATGATTGAAATAAATAAGCACTAGAGGTAATACCTTATTTGGTCTCTTGATTGTTAAGATTTCACCACTGTGTTCTGCTACTTCCAAATTTGTTCAATTTCATCCGTAATTGTTAACCAAAACGATCCTCAATCAGGACTGTTTTGGTTCAGACCAATGACTATTTTAGATAAAAATTGCATATATAGAGGATGAAATTGAATAAGTTTCAAAGTCGATAACCAAATGGTAAAATCCTAATAGCCCAGCTGAGGGATCAAATTGGGTATTAACTCATAGCACTGTATAATATTTGTTAAATGAAACTTTAAAACTTGATGACAAACTATAAATTATTTGTACCTTGATAACAGTAGTGAGATTACCAATTACCATCTCCACATATTCCTGGCGAGTATATGAATTAAGGATGGTGGAATTTCTTAAAAAGGGGATGGCTAAGTCATTGTTGCCAATACTAAACATGTACACAGCATTGGATATGAGGGTCTTTGATTCTTTGTCCCCCAACTTCTTCTTCAATTCTTGTACCACTTTCTTGAAATACCCAAATTGTGTTTTCAGATCAATTACCTGCAGAATATCAAATAAAGATCAAGCAATAACTAATTAATTAAACAACAAATGAATTCATATGTGCATAAGACTTTAGTATGTATCCATAGTTCATTTCATGTCATCATCACTCACAAAACCAGAAAAGGTTTCAACAAGGCTACCGGCACCGGCTGATGCAAAGTTGACTCCGTTAATAAATCTCCGATGATCAGTCCGGAAGTACGCCGGAATTAATGGTAGTTTGGCAAACTGGGCTGTGTAACCAAACATAGAAGTTAACAAATTGTATTATCAAAAGTATATATATATGGAAAGGGAAAAAACAAAGAGTAAAATTAAAGATGAATAGTTAAGCTAGGCCTACCAATAAAATCTGGCATAAGACGACCATTAGAAACCCTGCCGGTGGGGTGCTTGAAATATGATTCACCATAGGGTGGGAAGTTAGCCTGGAAATTTGTGGTAGTATTTATGTAGTTATTGTTGCCAGGATCAAAGAGTGAGTCCCCAAACACAAAGAGGGCAACATTATGTTTCTTGAGAGATTGATGAGTCTCATGGGCTAAGCCATGCGAAGCAGTAGTTAAGCTGCCAAGCAAAGCCAAGGCATAAACATAGGAATACAAACAACCCATTTCAAGGAATTATTGATGAGCAGGCCATTTGTGGTCGTCGGGATGTCTAATTTTAAGACTACTTTGAGTCCTTTGTTTATGCCCACATCTTTGAATCCCCTTTCTGAATCCGTTTTTTTAATCCATCCCCTTTCTGATTCCATATTTTTTTTTTACTAAATAATGTTTTAAACAGGTTGTCGTTGACTACTTAATATGAATATTTTTATATTCTTTTGTATTGTCCCTTCACATAATATAGAGTTATACAACACAAAAGAGTTATTACCATCCGAGGTCCTCCGAGTATAGTGGTTTTGCTACGTTTAGTCCTAAACTTTCAAATTAGCCATCTGTGGTCCTTCGACTTTCAAATTTAACCATCTGTGGTCTAAGTTTACCACCCATGGTCCTTCAACTATTAAATTTTAACCAACCATGGTCCTTTCAAGAGGACCACGACTGGTTAAATTTCAAAACTTGAAGGACCATGGGTGGTTAACTTGGACCACGAATGGTTAAAGAGTTTTTTCCACTTTTGGTCCCTTGACTTTACTTGTGCTGACAAATGTGATTCATGACTTTTATTTCAGACAAAATTAGTGCCTAACTTCAATTTCTTTTCCACATTTGGTCCCATCCGACCAAGAATCCGGCCAACACACCGGAAATTTGCACATCTCTTGTTTTTCTAAGGGTAAATTATTCTTTTATTGCCCTTGTAAAATAATACGTAGTAAAAACTAAGAAATATTTAATTGCTTCATTCTCGTAAAATTAAAGTTGCTTCCTATTATTATTATTTATTTATACCTCCATCCTCATCCTATAAATCAATGTCACTGCCAGTTTCTTCCCGAAGCTTCTCTGCTAACTGATATTTGCGTCTGCTCGACGGCGGTGATAGAAAAAAGCTTTGTTCAGTGGAGTAGAGTCATCGCGAAAAGCCATACAGGGCTCTCTGAAATGTATATGATCTTCAAGCTCCTGATCATCGACGGCGAGATTGTTGAAGAAGAAGGCGAGTGGGAGAAAAAAAAAAAAGAAGATAATTTTCAAACAGAAAACCAGGATCGTTGCTGCAAACTCTCTCCAGATTGTCTGTTAAATGTATGTATAATGTAATTTTGTAGATATAGTATAAACTTGCATGTAGATTTGAGAAGTTTATAGTGTAGGTTTACGGGATATATATTTGATTCATGGAATTTATCAGAGGATTCTGATTTTGTGTTTGATTTTTGAATATATTGTGCTCTTATGCAGTGCGTAAATTTCGGAAGAGCGGTTTGGATTTGGAATTCACCGAGAATGGCAGCGAAGACGATGATGATGAGGAAGGAGGCGACAGCGTAGGGAAACGGAGCGGCGGCGAAGATGAACGAAGTGATGTTGTTCGCGTAATGCGAGTGCTGCGGACTGACGGAAGAGTGCACAGAGGCGTACGTAGTGAAGGTCCGAGAGCGGAACCAAGGGCGGTGGATATGCGGGTTGTGCGCGAGGTCGGAGCAGCATATTGGCAGTGAAGAGGCTCTGAACAGCCACACGACGTTCTGCAAAAAGTTCAAAGCTCAGAGGCCGCCGCCGAGCAAAGACAACAATGAAGCAATTAAATATATCTTAGTTTTTATTATTTTACATGGCAAGAAAATATTAATTTACCCTTAGAAAAACAAGAGATGTGTAAATTTCCGGTGGGTTGGCCGGATTCTTGGTCGGATGGGACCAAATATGGAAATGAAATTGAAGTTAGGCACTAATTTTGTCTGAAATAGAAGTCATGAATCACAATTGTCAGCACAAGTAAAGTCAAGGGACCAAAAGTGGAAAAAACTCAATGGTTAAATTTGAAAGTCGAAGGACTACAAATGGTCAATTTGAAAGTTTAGGACTAAACGTGGCAAAACCACTATACTCGGAGGACTTCAAATGGTATTAACTCCAACACAAAACTAGTTCTAACT